AGCCAGGTTAATTTTTATGCGTTTTTTGCAGCAACGCAATGCGAAAAACGCATATTGACGAGAGGTCTGTGTGTCCGCGTGTCTGTGTGTCTGTGCGTCTGTGTGTCTGTGTGTCTGTGTGTGCGTCTGTTACGCACTTTCATCTCAAGACCTATAAAAGCTGCGGGGCTGAAATTTCGGGAACTTAATCTACATGCACGTGCCGGCCTCAATCCTCAAAATTGGCGCCAAAACCCGCGTGGTACCCGCGTGCGGGCCCGCCAAAGTTTTTTTGAGATCAGTTCATAACTCGGGGATCTGAGAAGCTAGAAGGCGGAAATCTTGGGGTAATGTTTCCCGCCCAAGCGAGTATTAGTGGGCTCAAACCCAGCCCCCGGGCAAGAGTGGTACCCGCGCACGGCCTGCCAAAATTTTTTTCGGGTAAGTTCATAACTCGGGGATCTGAGAAGCTAGAATGCTGAAATCTTAGGGGGATGTTCCCCGTCCAAGTAGCAGGTGGTAACTCAGAAGTCAGGGAAGCTAGAAAGCTAAAATTTTAAGGGGGTGTTTCCTGCCAGTTCTGGCGGCCAGTCTTAATTCGTTTAGCTAGAAGCATTTGCCAAAAAAAACCGATGCCGGTTGCAAAAAAAAAAAACTGCGGGGAACCATGCAAAAAAAGCATCTTCGCACGGGCAGCCCGTGCGTTGGCCAATTATTTTAGGACTGGAAAGCTGACTGTAGTAACCAGGTTGACCTTGGAAGCCTAAATGGCAAAGGCGCGACAGATTAAAGCATGAAGGAACAAATATGAGAAAAGAAGGTAAGAGTGAGATAAGACGTTTCGGTCCATAACATGGCTAAACTGCATAAATTTGGAATATCGTTCGATATTCCGCTTCGTCAGTATCTTTCATTATTGCCATAAATCTGGCCCAGTTCTTCCTATTGATGTGTACATTGCCTTGATAATATCGTTCACGCCAAAACTGCACTGCTTCACTGGGAATCATGGCTAACTTTCTTTCATTTAGCGTTTGTAGTTTTTTATTAGTTTTATGAAGAAGTGTGACAAATTTTAGTTTTTTTTAAAGCGGAATTAAAATACTTTTTCAATTTAGAACTGTGACTTTCCGGTCTGGATACCAAGTGATGTTTTCTGGACGAAACGTAACGAAGAGCAAATTCGAAATGGATATATACCGCTACCAAATATACATTTGTTGCCTCGCCGCTACTGGTACCTCTATCCAAAAATATTCCAAAAACATAGTCGAAAGGATTTCACGAAATCTGGCAAGGTTTGAATTTTTTCCCCCTTACATAATGACATTTTGCTTTTGCTTGATCCGGAACGATATAGTGTGTTTGAGCAACGCAGTGGTATTCGTCCTGATTTATCCGGGATTATTTAATTTATCACTGGTAATCACACGATACTCCAGTGTAATCCGTTTGTAGCAATCAGGTTGACCTTGAAAGCCTAAGTGGCAAAGGTGCAGTAAAATACTGTTACTTAATTTACTTTTTTTTTTTTTTTAAAAATTTTACCGTTTTTATTTCAGAAATATGCCTTTTTTTAGGATTATTCTGGTATGGCCACTCCATCGTCGGGTCGTGCAACACGAGGCAGTTCCGTACGGCCTGAAAGTGTTCTTGCTACAATGAATGATGAATGCAGTCGGGATTCATTTTTTCCAAACACACCTGTCC